CATGATGCTGATTTTTAGATCTTGTAGAACACTATTTATATGTGAGTTAGAAAACACTCTAGTCAATTTGGATTCATGATCGATACTGGTATTGAGTGAAAAGAGGGTATTTGCCCTTTATGGTCAGAAAAAAGTGTATTAATAATTTTAGACCGAAACTTCACATCTGTGTTAATGAAAATATTGCCCAAGCATGATTTGGAGTCATTCTTTACTCTAGTGAAATCGGTAATAGTTGCTTTCAAACCGTAGGAATGAATTATGTCAATAAAGTCTGATGATTTCCTATTTGTCACCGACAGATTTCTATTAAAATCGCCGGCTATGACACATTTCTTTTTTTCATTACTAATTTTATCTAGAATTATTTGAAGTTTCTCAAAAAACTCGTCGATTTGACCGTCACATGGACGATATATAGAAACGACGACTAAGACGAGCTCTTTCAAGGGCTGTACATTCAAACACACCGCACTGCGAAATGTTGTTGAGATCTTCACGCACTTTCGCTCTTCCTTGAAGTATATCCTGGTTGCAGTAGATAGCACACCCTCCATGATGACCTCATTCACGGCAGAAGAATGAGATGAGCTCAAAATGAAATTTGTAATCTTGATAGCTTGAATTTGCTGTTGATCTTACCAGTGCTCCGTACTTACGCAATTTCCCAATGATTGAAGGTTGTAGTGTGTTGGATCCCTAAGGCTGTCTTCCTTGGTTTTACGACAGGGTAGAATCGGAATTTTAACAATATTTCGCACATATCTTTTTGCAGTTTGAGACCTATCAAAATAGTGTCATTCAAGCTGATACCCCTTGAGCCCTTAACACAGACGGATTAAAAACGACACGCAATTTCGTAGTGGATTTATCGAGAGAAAGTACTCCATGATGTGGTAAATAACACAACTCTGGTTTAATAATAAAGCATTAATAATAATAAAGCATTTATTGCCCAACAGTACAGGTACCATTTAGAGAGCAATACATAATACAATGGTTTACTTTACACAGTCTGTGTGTCATAAAGTGAAACAAAAAAAAAACACACACACAGAAAAGAGGAAGGCGCTTTAAGTAGAGAAAAAAGAAACTATAAATATGATCAATAGATATTAGGAAACCAGAATATACTCGTATATACATAAATATCCATATACACATACATACACACATATACGAGTATACACATATATACATATATAGACGAATATACATACATATATATATACGTATACATATATAACAAATGAAAACCCCTAGAGAAAGGCGTAATAAAAGTCAAAGATGTGAACGTATAGCACTTCGTAATTCCTGTAATCCACAACAGAAGATATCACAAAAACTCACAACTATTCGCATTATTGCACATAAAGTTTATTGGCGCTTTAGATAGAAGATTTGTCTGCGCCCTCTTGCAGGAAAAGGAAACTTTATATTTAGATGTCAATCTAGGTACCAGGAAATTAATTTGCAATAGCAAAACAGGACAGTCGATGTTACCATGCAGTAATTTGTATAAAAATATGATGGACGCCTGCTCTCTGCGCTTTTCCAACGAAGGAATGTCAAATCTATTCAGTAATTGTGAGTAGTCACATCCTCTTGGAGGATAGACACCATCACTCCTATAGCATACATATTTTAGAAATTTCTTCTGTACTTTTTCAACATTATTTTTGTACAGTTTATAGATAGGACTCCAAATAATTGCACCGTATTCTAATTTACTTATAACAAGCACTGAAAATAACTTAATAAGCATTGTGTTATTGGAATTTCTACAATTTCTGATAATAAAGCCATATTTGCGATACGCATTACTTATAATTTCACTGATGTGGTAGTTAAAAGTGAGCTGACAATCGAAATAGACGGCCAAATCCTTGAAAGTTTTTGTATGGGTAAGTTAAAAATTTGGCTTTCGGGGTGAAGGTCAAAATGCGGCATTTAGAATTGTTCAAATACAAATTGTTATTAACACACCATGTTTGTAAAAAAACTATGTTAGTTGTTGTTGGAGATTTTCACAATCCTGCCAGCTAGAACACAACATACGCGTAAAGCTTCAGATCATCAGCAAACATAAGCTTCTTGCATGATAATGTGCTGCAAAGATCGTTAACGTATAAGGCAAACAATAGGGGCCCAAATTAGAACCTTGAGGTACACCACTACTTGGCATATATTTATAAGAACTAAATCCATTATAGAATACATATTGAGTTCTCAAGTCTAGATAATACTTGAGAAGATCCACATAAGTTCTGTTGAATCCCATGTATTCAATTTTTTGTACAAGTTGTTGATGGTCAATTTTGTCAAACGCTTTTGTGAAATCAGTATATATGACATCCACTTGCCCCCTATTGTCTACTATTGGTAGAACTAAGACTTGAATTGTGAAAGTAGGTTGAGACTGATCTCTGGGTTTGATAGTGCAAGTAGAAATGCCTTTAGTAACTGACGATGATTGATTGAGTCCAAAGACAGAAATTAAATGATCTTGATATGCCTGACTTTCTCTGTATGATTGCTCGAACTGTTTGGTAATTACCTCGAGCGCCAAGGACTTCTAATTTGAGGGTTAAGAGAAGCACAGTTGTTCTGGGTGTCGAATGCATACAGTGATTGTACAGAGATTGGTTGATGGATTAAGTTTGCGATGGGTTAGAATAATCTTGAATCGAGTTTGAAGTGATTTGTTATTTTGATTATAGTCATAACTGGTATGACAAAGATTTGAATTGATTTGGATTGGATTGTGCTAACATCAGGTTAGCAGTGTCTTGACTTGGATTGGAATCGATAGAATTATGATTTTGACTTGGATTTTGTCGATTGTGGCAGATGTAACAAAGTGTGGTGGCGATAACGGCAGATTTTGCAATTGAATGTGCTTGCGCAATTTCGTAAAAGGTGATTAAAACGCAAACAGTTTACGTATTCGTTGTGTTGTTTCACATATGCAAAACGATCCGAAGGTGATTTTGCAATGAACATGGCACATTGCGACAAGAGATGAAATAGATTGTTGCAGAGTATATTGTTTGAATTTTCATTTTGAGATGAATGGTTTGTGCTGGGATTGTTCGATCGTGGATTCGCTCTTATATAGAAATTGTAAGGCGGATTTGTTATGTGCGGGCCATTGAGATATGTATTGCTTCTGTTATTATTAGATTTTAGATGATTCCGTTTCGGTTGTTGCCGTCCGGGACTGGGGTGCGTTGGGTTGTTTTAAAAATTTAACTATATACGTATAGTTTTGAGAGCTGTGCAATGGTTTGTAACGAATTCCATTAAATTTTGGTATATCGGGATTTCGGTAGTACTATACATGATCTCAAAAGATGTTCTAGTAGAGTGATCCAATTTTGATAAAGGTAATAGAAAATAAACAAAAGCACCATGACTATACTGGAAATCCGAGATTTTGGACTGCAGCGACATTTTCTGAAAACGCATCAGTTAACAATCTACGATCTTTAGGTGAATTATTGGATTTTAAAGGATTTGCATTGTAAATCAAGTCCAAGTAGGTACCGGCCAAAAGTCGAACATTTTGATACCTGTTTTTTAAAGTCTTCCAGGCGATTTCGTAATTTGACTGTTAGTTTGATTGAGGTCAAAATGTTCAATGGTTCACCCTCTAAGAAACTGAGCAAATATTGGAACCTTCTAATATTGGAGTAATTTGGATTTTGGATGGAACATCATGAATTACTGGAGTGAGGCAGGGCTGACAAATAACATCGTGTGCCTCATATTCGGTATCGTTATTATCATCATCAAGAAGGCCAATGACTTCATTACGTATAGCTTTGAACTGTTCATAATGATCATCTAGTTATTCAAAATACGACTTGAATGTTAGTTTGAGAGTTTCGTTAGTTTTCGCTTTTATTTCCATATTGTACGCCTCTAATACGTGAGATTGCTATTTTGCATTGATGAGCCTTTTCAAAGACATGATTCTGAATATTTAGAATAACACTGATTGTTTATTTTGATTGAAAATGGATAAAAATGATTTGTTTACTGTACTGATATCCTGGACAGTGTTTACTCCAAAAGCGTGCAGGTTCACAAAAGGCACTAAGAACACAGCTCGGTTTCACTTATATGAATGTATATGTGTATGTTTGATAACAATATAATATATTAACTTTTCGAATTTCATCAGTTGGCAAGAGTTTTCCGTTTTATTCGGACGTGTTTTTGGTTATACCTGTTTTTGGGCTATTTACATGAAATAATGGTTCTACGACTGAGCCACGAATTGAAAGGAAGCAAAACTGTGAGAGGTGATATACAAAATTATCACTTAATCTTTAATTATATTTCTGTGGAAAGTTTTTAAAATTACCCGAAAAATCCGGGTTCGATTGGCCAAAAAATATTCCTGCAAAGATGATTTTGAATTGTGGAAAGCCGCGAGACTGTAAGCGCGTTCTGGTTCAGATTTAATTAAAAGTAATCAAGTATTTGACACCCGAGCCATACAAAGGTAATGTAGGATTGGCACGTACCTGGGTGCGCAACTAATTTCTAGCTTTGAATACATCTCAACTGAATGTATTTGAGACAAGAAACCAATCCATACAGATTATTAGCACACAAATCCTCACTATCCACCTATGCACTGCCGTTTCATTCCAGCTATAGTGTAGAACTTACAGCTTAGACCTACAATAATACCATCTCTGAAACAGATTTTACATCACATCAGAGCCAAACATTGTGATAGCTAAAGCATGATGACGTTTAGGCAACATGTACAGCTACAAAACAAGTGTACAAGTGTACAACAGCTAGTTCTAAGTTATCTTGTAGGGAAACCTACGTTGTCTCAAAAAGCCTATGAAATGTCAAAAAACCGACAAAAATGTCAGTTTTCAAGATACTTAATACCTGTGCATCAAGCAGAATAATATGATAGGGGGACGCGCTCTATGTTATTCATAACATTTATCTCTAAAATCAGTTATCTGATACAAATGTCTAATGTAAGTAGTAGAAATAAATTTGATCAGACAAATATGTTAAATCTATATTCAATTGTGGATTGCAGGAAACTTCGAGCATTGATCTTTGCTCGTACGACGAGAATACTAAGAAGAAGGAGATCAAACCATCTCCGAAAGTGTTTGGTTTCATCGGGCTGGGGAACATCGGTGCCGGGGTGGTGAAGAACCTTATCAACTCCGGCCATAAGGTTAACTTGTTCAACAGAACGCCTAAAAAGGTAAGTGCAATCGCAGTTATCGTACAGGCGGAAATGTGAAAGGACATGTGTTCGAGTCTTAATAGTGATCTATCGTATTGACGGCTGATAGATGGATTTGACCTTGGTATTTTCGAAGAATTGGGTGCTCAATGTACGCTTTGCATATTCTCAGGTCTATAGTAATTGAACTAACAAGGTTTTAAGAAGTGGCGAATGATAAATATAAAAAATTAGTAATTTTTGTTTTCATATCATATTAAATACGAGTAACCTTGAGTGAAAGAAGAATATGTTTTCTCAGTTTAGTCCTATCTAAAATATTAAAGGTAGTAGTACATTACATTGAAGACAAGTCTTTCAACGTTTCTGAAACATATGTTCAATATGTACAGATTATCACTGCCAGTTCCTAGGTATCCTTAGGTTTCTTTTTATTGGAGTATATTAAAGTTGCATAGATCAGATATGGCCATTTTTGACGCAAATCATGCCATTTTGGTTACTGGGGAATAATTCAAGTATTTAGCATTATATTCCAACATTTTTTTAATATATCTAAAACAACATGTTGTGTTTGAAGGTCCTTTATGGTATTTCAAAAATGTTATGTTGAACATTTTATATCCAGTATACAGGGTGTTTCAGAACTATGGGATCAAACTTGTAGGGGTTATTCAGTGTAACAGTAGAAAACATTTGACTATAGGGACCCATATCCGCACCTCACAACTTTGTTATACATTTTCCTTTATGAAACGTTTTTTGATGATATTTTGTCCTTTTCCTACTTTCTAGACATCCTCAAATACCCATGAAGATCATGGTCAAGGTCATGTGTCCCGGTGTCAAAAATGGAGTTTCATTTAAGAAAACAGTATTTACCATCAAATTATCTTGAAGGTCATAGTCAAGGTCACCATTTTGACCTGTCCATACTTTTTGAACACCCTAATTCTGTGGATGAAAACTTAAAAACCATAAGATTCCATCGGGTTTCGTCAGTGTTCAGACGTGATACTGACAGACTGTCAACAAAATAAAAATGGAACACCGAATTGAATTGGCGTCCGTAGCGTAGGCTTGAAAATCAGACTAATCACTAAGACACCGAGGCACTTACATAAGTAACAGTTATGCAAATCAGTATGTTAGCTATTTTTCCATAGTTAGCCAAAACTAGTAACAAAAGTTACGATAAATAGCTGACGTTTAAAAGCACCGGGAACTCTGCTTATGAAGGAACATTACAAACTCATCAATGTTTCATTCGCAGGTCATTTTTACGTTGTAAGCTGGTTGAGGTTTCACTCATCTCTGAACAGTACAGCCACTTAACGTAGATAATAGACTATTTATGAGTGGGCCACAGTGTTTGCCTTTCTTTCGTCTTCTTTTGAAAAATCGCATTTTTATGTATCTAAAAAACCTATCCGTTCAATATCTACTAAGTAATAATTCATTAATTCAATGAATCGAATACTTTTTTGTAAAGTAAAAGAAAAATTGATGCAACGTCCTTCTTAATTCGATTCACACCAATACATTATATAGAATAACTACATATTATTATTCTATATAATGTATAGAGTATACGAGTAACGATGTAGGCTATACGATTATGTAAAAATCTTAAAAAACGTCAAAAAACCGAAAACCGACGAAATGTCATGTCTCTTGCAGACTAGGTAGTTTTTAGTGTGCAAATAGTTCATTCCCTGTTTGCTCGCTATGATCGGTGTTCGCTGACGTTTAAGCAACACGTACAGCTGCAGAACGAGTTCACAACAAGTGTACAACAGCTTGTGCTAAGTTAACATTTTGTTGAAAAACCTACTTTATGTCACAAAAAAAACCTACGCAATGGAAGATACGTGCCGGTCTCATTGGCTCTACATTCTCTGATATTCCATTATTGCCAAGTGTAAATATTAGCTTGCGTATATACCACGCCGTTTTCGAGCGCACCATTAAATAGTTTGCCAGCGGAAAAGTTATTACGTAGTGTTGATATGTAAGGTTTTTGTAAATAATTATTCCGTAATAATAATTTATGAACGGGTAAAGTAAATGATGTTTAAAATTACGTAAATATTGCAATCTTTTAAAACATACTTTCATCTTCATTTTCATACTTGTTTAATCAATAACAAAATGTTTCGGGCATTTTAATATAAATATTTGATGACTCCGTCCCTTTCACACATGGTTTTTTGCGACATCCTGGTTTGTATATACAGGGTGTCCGCAAAGTTGGGGTTTTCCTTTTCAGGCACAACTACGCTGGATATAACAAAGCTAATGTGTGGTGAAACGTGAGCGAACAAGTAAAACAAAATAAATGAAAAATACTCACTGTTCAGTTGAATTGAAATTCCAAGTACGGCTCTGTCGTAAAATCCGTATTTACATCGTAGTCGTACGTCGTAGAACTGTACGCTGGCGCTGTGGACGTGATCGACGGATAGGTCACAACCGGCTTTGGTTTGGTTCAGGTTTGATTGAGTTTGCGGAGCCTAATATCTCGGTTCTCTTAAGACACTGGTGTATATGCTACTAAGAAAATCCACTTATTTTCTCAAAATCTAAACGTCCTGTAAAGGAAAACCCCAACTTTGTGGACACCCTGTATATACATTTTTTGAAAATTGTTTAATTTCGTTTTCCAATTCTAAAATCTTTTAAGCTGTTAAGAAATTAGAATCCTACTTTTTCAACAGTAAGTTAGTTAATTTACAAAGATGTCCAATGTTCACACGTTATTGATGTTTTTCGTGAGTGTATTTAGAAGATTAATTTATTTATTTACACCACCAACAGATCAACCAATTATTGGTGGTAGAACCGAAGTTTACATAGTATTTGTACAAACATGCAGTAATATATTTAAGAAATATAACATTCAAGAAACTACACAATTATATAACAGATTTGCAGAGGATCTTAATAGAGGTCACATTCGTATGAAATATATAAATTCTGTTTTGTACATTGTTACAATATAAAGGATAATGCAGCAGTACATTGGCCCTGGGGGTTGGTAAATAAAACGTTTGGGTGTTTCTGGTGAGACACCTTGGTATAATAAACGAGACGACTTGGAATATTCGGCAATTGTATTGGTTGTGAATAACCTTGAATAAGAATATTAACGAGCGCATTTTTCTTATGTGGTCTAAACTTAGCATATCGTGCCTCTTTAACAGCACATTTCGAGGAACACCTATTTCCGGATAAATACCATTAGCCCATAGGACAGATATTTTATGCTATCAAAATCACGATAGGTGCGCAATAAACCCAGACTTACAGAATTTAGAAGATTATTTATACGCGGATTGAAACTGAAGCTTCTGTCAAAGATGACTCGAAGATCCTTGAATTCTCCTACATTCGGTAGAGTTGTTTGATTAACCTTATAATGATATTCTATTGGGCGTTATCGTCTAGAAAACGTCATGCTGGTACACTTGGATGCATTGATGGGTATTATTTTCCCACCAAATTATTATCCGGTTGAGATTATTTTGGAGACGTTCGCAATCGGTGCTCTTGTTAACTGGACTATACATTTTCAGATTATCGGCATATAACAACAGAAAGTTGCAATCAATCACGTCAGAAATGTCGTTGATAAGTATAATGAAAAGAAGTGGTCTTAACGATGATCGCTGCGGAATACCTGAAAAATTTAAATCTTGCATTGATTATAGTATATTCACTATCACATCGTTCATGTGGTAGAGTCCTGTTTTTTAAAACTCTCATCCACAATACTGACTGATCAGTGTCAAGTAACTTATTTTGAATATGACTTCAGATGAAAGCCGTATTTACTAGAATACTAAAATAAGCTTTGCAAGGTATTATAGGGAAAATATTCGGGATATAGCAAGTGCTTATGAACATTTAGGAAGGTATTTATTACTACAGAAAAATCGAGATGAGTTGCAGGTTCACCTTTGGTATCACCATCAGTTACACAATTCTAAAAACTCCTAAAAGATACGTATACTATTACAGGGATGTTTCATGATTCACCAAATCCGTAGGAGTCTGTAGATGATCGTCGTCAGAAGATGACATCGAAGGAAGTTTCTGCATACTTCTACTGCTAGCCGGTCCCTCCATTTTTTTAGATTCCTCAGAAATAACTTCTAAAAGATCATCATTACTGTGCACCGAGGATATGACACTCTCTGCAAAGCTCAAACCAAAGATCTGCTTTGATGTTGAAGGGATATCGGCAAGCATCCTAAGAGGTGGTCTAGTAGCTTCGATGTAGTTGACATGAATCCCTCCTAGAGGCTCCCTATCTCCCATCCCTTCGGACCTTTCTGATGGGGTGTAGTAGAGAGAAAGCCTGCTCTGGGTTACGTCAGTTGCACTAGCATTGAGTTCTATCATTTTTCCATCTTGGCTTTGATGTAACAGTCGACATCTTCGAAGTCTTGTTCAAAAACGAGAGATTCAGCTTTGCCACATGTTCCCGTGCGACAGTTTTCGAAATACAGGCTAGGCAAGTTCTCGAGAACCTTATTCAAAGTCTGCTGTTGGTACTTGTAGGTTTCGCGCAGTTGCAGTACCTTATGAGCACTGAATTTTCGGATCTTATTGCGCTGGAACACGTAGTTTTCACGTACCCAGTTCATCTGACCGGTGGAGTAGTCTCGGACCTTCTTCACCTGGAAAGAAAAAATACATTCTAGATATCGTCTTTAAATCTATATTTCTTTTAGAACCTAGAACCCTGAGCAGGTAGCCAAATATTAAAGTTGTATGACTGCTTAACACATTGGTTGCCATTCTAAGAAACTCAAGGATATACATATTTTTTATTTCGATTTATCCGTAGGAAAACCTAATAACAGGTTGAACGTCTGTAGGTTGTCAGTCCTGATGACTGACACGGCGGCTAATGCGTTAAGTTATATTGGTATTTATTTCTCCATGGTAATCATATACTCGTATAATGCAGATCTCTTTTAAAACCATATCGTTTGCTGTTTTTTTTTTGGACGTATACAGATTATGTTATAGTGCGCATTTTTTACCAGTACTACGTGACTACGCCTCTCATTTTGTTTATTTTGCAGTTTTCTATAAATATGTTTTTTATGCTGAGTAAACTACACTGAAAACCAAATACCACTGACGTCGGCATTTAATATAACTGGCTTAAAAAATAAGAGACTATAAATAATAATATCGACTGAATAAGGAGCGAAATACATTTTTTTTTGGCTTTAGGACCAAGCCATGCAGCCAGAAACTAGGTTGTTATATTTACATTTCTAATGACTCTGACCCACGCGGTCAACCGAAATACCATACAAAGTCGAAAATAAAGCGTAAATATATATTTTCTCACAGCATGTATATTTTATTTTCTCTGAATAGGAATGAATCTAGGTATAAAAATTTTTGGGAGTTGCATGACATGATAAAGTTTTACGATATGTTCCTTAAGATGTCTGAAATAATGTTGATTTAGGCCAAAATACTTTTGCTGAAATAACAAAATGGCGGCTGTTTTACAGATAAATATGTGAACAATTCAGAGTCATTCACGGCTACCAATACTGGTGACCTGTGGCAATGTGACATTGAGCAGCGGCGGATAGTGACCAGGATACCCTTATATTCTCATGCGAATATCTTCTAACCATTGATTTATTGCTAAAGATTATTATACACAAAGTACACATAGTTTTAAATAATCATTTGAAAATTATTTTTCGTCCGGTATATAATATTTAACCTGTCGTTTTTAGATTCCAAGTTATTACAAGGAATCTAGATTGATATCACATTTTTTTTTTAAAAAGACCGCTATTTTATTTTTCCAGAAAAACTATTCTGTCCAACCCCCGCCCCCCCTCCCAAAATCATTTCAGACCATCTTGGAATATACGTACTCGTATATGAGCGCGCATAGCTAAACATTATCCCACCATGAAACTCGCAATGTTTCATACAAAAAGCAGCAGTTTATGATCGGTTTGCTACTTACTAACCATCAGCGTAAGATGTGAATAACAGCTACCTCAATTATTATTTTTTAATTATGTTTTATGTAAGACATATATGCAGCCAAGCTGGGTCATGTCACATGTTCAATTTCATTTCTCAAACCGAAATAAAATTCACAATTGAATCGTTACAGGTCAGCTATGGAATTAAAAACATGTAATACGACTGGTAGTCGGAATGATACCCTGTGTGGTTACGGCTGCTAAGCATTTTTTCAGCTCATGTCGCATCTATAAAATGGAATTATCTCCATTATTGAGTCACTACACTTTGGACAATGCGTCGTTTGTGTTTTAATCGAGACTGAAGAATCAATAACATCCTGAAATGCAGCGATGTTATGCAACGTTATCCCCAAAATATGTTGTATGGTATTATGGTAATATTCTTAAACTTCTTTTTAAACTATCGGTTTGTTCGTACAGTAGTCGGTAACTTGTCGGTGACTGTCAAAATCAGAATCAGAGAGATGTTACCTATTCGTAAAGTTTCTGACTGTTTGCCGACAGCTAATCCGGTGTTCTTACAGGACCTTCTGACAGGTCAGAGGACACCAGTCAACCAGTGACAGGTATCAGAGTGTGTCGGAACTATCTTGAGGACTAAAATTGCTTCGGCATTTAATGAACTTTTCTCTAATGGACGATCTGGGGACACCTTCGTAATAACGGGCCGTTGGCGATCTAGTTACGCCAACGGGATTTGCTCCTCAGAGCTCTCCCATGGTCTCGCCCCGCGATGTGCCTTCCTGTCTTCGGCCTCCCATCGTAAGCGTGTCGAACTTCGTACATCCAGAACTGGCCGATAATTCCGCTCCTGTGTCGAGATCGTGTAACAATCAACATGAGGAGATTTTCCCAGTTCCACTAACTTAAGGCAGTTTAAAAATGGGAATAACAAAGTTTCTTAAAGCTCCTGAAAGCAGCCTTGGCATGTAGGGTTCACTTGCGCGGCTGCTTCGGTATAAAAAAAAATGAAACCCAAAAATCTTAATTTTGTAGAGAAAACAGTGCCACAATTCAACAGAAATATGTTTTTGTAACATTTTCGGGTCAGCAAGTGGCAGAAGAAATTTTAATGAAATTCCATTTTAAATATCAGCCATCGCTAAAGTGCTTTGTGCTCAATATTTTGTTTATTGATCCGGTAATGGTAAAATGAAGATTATGAATACAGTATGAAAAATCCGAACAATAGAGGACATAACTTTCAAGAACCGTAATTAATACGACTTTTGTGATCACTAATCCCTTGAAAATTTTTGTTACAGTTGCAAAATGCGTAAATACGCGATTTAAGTCTTACTTCTATGTATTTCCGTAGTTTCAGTTATTATTTTCATTATTATTTATGTTCAGCAGTTTTAGCTTTTTAATGTATAACACTTTGTTATTCAAAGACGTTATTAAATCCTTGTAGTATTTTCACTTCTTTCTTCTAGTAAGAGTCTGCATATACAGGGTGTTTCTAATTTGGCACTCACCATTGGGATCTTCGGGGTAGTCAACAGAGTGACACTTAGAAGCTTTCGAAATTCAAAGTACTTCCGTAGAGTAACGGAAAAACTGAATTTTCTGAAAATTGTTCTGATTTCCTTCCTGACTTTATTTATATTGGGATTTTAAAATAAATTGCACATTAACAGTGCCACGTTTTCTTCTCTACAAGAAGGCATAATCAGAATTTCTATATGCCGGTTTGTCTCTTGCCTTCCAGCATCAGCTTTATTATTTCTTAAGGACGCTATGTTGCATTTTTACATAGATGAATAGTTTTTAATTTTGATTCAAAAAATGCATAATATGTCAAACCTTGATTACTTTAAGAAAAACAGAATTTCTTAGGTAGGCATTGAAATTATCAGATGTTTGTTTCGCTCACCCGATGTATCCCAAAAACTGCTCTATTTTTTCCCGACTCTATTCGAGATGGGATTTCATAAAAAGTTGCATATTGTCATTGTTACTTATTCTCGTCTGCAAGATGGCGTACTCAAATTTTCAATTAGACATTTATTTCGACTTCCATCATCAAATTTCTTTTCTTATACGGACACTATATTGGAATTTTGGACATTTAAATGGACTTTTTAAGCCCTAAATTCTGTGATTGTTGGTTGACCATAAATTTGTTGTTGGATGAAAATTATAAGGAAATAAAAAGATATGGTGAAACCTGAATACGAAATGAAAATTTTATTGATGGTAATAACAATAATAAGCAGAGATATTCAGTCTTCCAAACTCTGTTGCTATGCAAACAAATAAAATCTAATAATTTCAAGGCCTACCTAGGAACTGGAATAATTAAGGTTTTTGAAATGTATGACATACATTTTTTAAATCAGAATAAAAATTCTGTTCAAGTGTGTAAGAATCCAATATTTTCGTCTATAAGAAAAAAATAAGTTGAGGCTGGAGGACAAAAGACGAAACGTCATATTGATATTCTAATTGTGCCGACTTGTAGAGGAGAAAATGTGGCATTGTTCTTGCGCAATTTATTTTGAAATCCCACCACAAATAAAGTCAGGAGAAAATTACACTTACTACTACTACTTTCAATTTCAAAACTTTCTAATCGACATTTTGCTGATTATCTGAATACGCAACTTTGTTAAGATTTAAGTTGACTTCGCATCCCTTGAAGTTTCCGAGATCCTAATGGTGAGGGTTGAATTTAAAATACCCTGTATAGCAGAAACAGTTACTCAATCTCCGTGGGCACCCGTGACAAAAAGCTGTATCACAAAATCTCCAGAATTCATTATTTTGTTTATTTTTTCATCAGCTTTGGGTTAGACTTACATAGCTAGAATACAGGTATATAAATACTGTTTGTGCATACACTTCGAGGCTGGGCGACAAGGGAACAGAGAACAAAACCCTACTATCCGAGTATTATTAAAAGTCATTCACAATACTTTGTAAATTTCTCCTGCATGATCACTGCAGACGTTTATTCAGAATTCTTACTATGTATTATTTACTTCTTCAACTTGTCATTCGATGTGTGGAATCATATTTCTTCCAATTTATGTTTATACTTTATATATGAGAATTGAATGGTAATTACTTAATAAATCTACTTGACTCTTTGTGGGTGCTGTTAATTTTTCTAGAAAGTGTCCATGTTTTCTTCTCTAAAGGAAAATTCGGGCACATTTGGACAGTTGTACGAAAAATCCTAGATCATTCTGGTTTACAGCAAATGAACCCCAACTTTTTAAAAATTGTCTACTTCATTCTGAAAAATTTTACATTCGAAAAATTTTTGTACTTGATTTCGAGCTCTGTCAATTTACTGGAAAATTATCTGCTGACTGATTTGACAGTCATCAAACAGACAGAAGTTTCTGTACGAACAGCGGATTAGTTGTCGGTAATCGGTCTGACCTCCCTCAGCCAACTCGTAACGTTCTCATGTACGCAATTAATACACTCAGCGACGTGTCAGTGACAGCTAACTGCGTAAACTAGGTCATGACTTGTCGCCGACTATCAGTTTGCTGATTGTCAGCAAACATGCTGTATGAACAAACCATATATGTGACTAATCCGGTGGTCTAGTTCTCAATTTGACTACTTGATCAGTCCCGAGTATCTGGTTGAATTAGATGGAAAAATTGAAGCGGTTCAGAGCTTGTTGATTTTGGTAATTGAACATTTGAGATTCGTTCAAATGATTTGAAATGAAATCTAAACGATTGTAACCAGTACCAAAACATTTATTGGTGATGCGTTCCATTGTGACATCATGTTGTGAAGTACCTATTCATACAAAGTTTCTTCTTTGTACTAAAGACTCACCTGATCACAGTATTGACCTCGAAGGGTAGACAAATGAGCTTGTCCGATGTCCCGAAATTCCTTCAAATGTTTAGCCTGAGATTGGTAGCTGCTTTGAATCCACTCCATCTGTTGGGTGCAATTATCACGTATCCTGTGGACCTAAAAAAATAAAACGTTATGTGCGAAGAAGAAAAGCAATTTTGTGCAAAAATTATTTTTATCATAATTTGGGATACCACAAAAATGTCACTTTTTTAGTCACTAGTCTTTGATACTTAGGATTTATTGACAACTGGATTTTCATTATTTATTTGACTCGTTCGTGTTAGCGGATACTGTTGAAGCGCGTCTTATTTTTACCATAATATGTATATATTTAAGATAAACATGCAATTTTGTTGACTGGAATTGGTTTGAAGTAAATAATTAATTATATTTCACAATCTTAAAGCACATGATGAACATTAACTTGGCCTCTAAATTTAATGTGTAATGTCATTGATAACTTCAGAAATTTGAATACAGTTTAGATTATACTGTATGTTGGCCGAGTTGAAAAAATTCAATATTATTACCTTTATTCTAGAAATATAAAAATTTTCACTACCGTCGATGATCAAATCTTTCACCCATTAAAAAAATTTGTAGTTATATACGGTATTATAATGCACTGAGAGGTATTGCATTACTCAGCTATTCAGTTTACACTATAGCGTTGTAGACAAAGGATTATTGTTTACGTATTCGGCAATTACGAAGATAATGATAACTTATCATTAAATTACAGCATCGCTTTTATGTAGACTTTATGTTGCTATGTTTCAACAATTCCTAACTATGCCATATTTGAACAGAATGCAAATCAAAGGTAATTGATGCAGAATTTATAAAAGGGTTTAAAAAATATAGTGACCGTAGTCGAGTATTTTCGTTCATCACAAAAAAATCGAGCACCTCGACAAAAATTCTTTGACCCTCTGTTAGTCAGTTGCTAGATGGCAACGATAAAATTACCATTTTCTACTTGAATGTCTATCCAAAAGGTTTTTCTATAAAATGCTTACCTGTTGCGTATAGTTTTCACGTAATTTCTCCAACTGTTGGCTCTTGTATTGTTCGATGTTGTCCAACATTTGAAATATCTGTCTGGCCCTTGGTGATACTTTGTCTCGTTTACAGAAACTGCAGAAGTTGTTCAGAATGCCAAATCTGAAATAAAAAAATAACAGTATGAAATTAAATTAGCTATGTGTATGAACTGATCTTAAAAAGATTTGGATAGAAATTGAATATCGACATTGTTTGAATAGAGATTCACAGTACTCACATTAAGAGGTTCATTTGAGTACTGGAGTGTGTCGTATAACATTTATTAATGTTTCGTCGGAAATAAGCAGTAATGTCTTTTGGTATACTCACTTATCGAGAAGGTACCTAAAAAGTTGCACCAACAGGGTCAGCCCAAGGAACCCTGCCGCACTCTGAGTTCCCACTATCAAGCTGATGATTCGAATGTTGTTCCAGTCGACTGGATCAATGTGTAAAAATACATCTTCCGTGGTGTTTGCAATGGGATTGCTGGCGTAGCACGTGTATCTGCCGCAGTCTGCACGTGTCACGTTCTTCACCCATAGTGTTCCGTTGTCCAACACTTGAATTCTTGGAGGGATGACTCTTAAAGGTGTCATATTTTGGTCATGAGCGTGAGGGTGCTTATTGAACACGTCAGGAATGCTCGGATCTGGGTTCCAATGATAGATTTCCCTTCTTGGGGTGATCCACGTTATTGAAGGATGTGGATTAGCTGAATATCTGCACTCTAGAAGAGCGTCTGTTTTGAGTCTATAGAGTTTTGTTGGTGTTTTGTATATGATTCTAGGACTTGTGCAACTCAGATGTTGTAATGTAGGTAACATGTCGTCGGGATAAGCGTATGGACCACACGTGAGATCTGACAGTTTCAAAGTCGCATTTTTACTACGTGCCCAACTGGCGAACCAGTACATTCTGCAGTCGCATGCCCAAGGATTGCTACTGATATCTAGCTCTCTAAGCATCGTCAGATTCTCGATGGATCGTGGTAGAAACATCAACTCATTCCCGCTGATGTCTAGTGTTTTAAGTATTGGAGTGTCTGATAGTACATAGTTTTCTATCTCTTTCAGTTTCTTGTTCTTCCTGATATTCAATATTTCTAACCTTGGAACACCCAGGAGCTCACTATTATGGATAGTTTCTATCTGAGTATTGTCCAAAGTAAGTGATTTTAGCAGTGGACTGAAATGCATTAACCCAAAGGAAAGCTGCGTCAATTTATTCCCGCTCAGATCCAATTCTCTGAGATTCAGAAGCCCTCTGAATGTGCCACTGGCCATATTTGTAAGAGGGTTATTGGCTAGATTTAAGTACTGAAGATTTAGTAACGAATCGAAAAGTCCCTTAGCGATACTTTGCAAAGAGTTCTGGGATAAGTCTAATCCCTTGAGTTCTACAAGATCGACCAATGCATTTGAAGTGATCTTGGTGATATTGTTGTTATTTAGTTGAAGAACTTCGATGTATCTGTTGAATTTGAAAAAGTGATCCAAGAACGTTACTAGCAGGTTGTGGGATAGATCCAAGTGCCGAATGCTTGATACGTGGGAAAATACCTGGAATAAAAAAGGAACATTAATGCTATAATCTATCCGAACCTCATTTACTCCGCATCAAAATAAACTCGATCGTCACTTCTATTCGCTTTTCGTCTCATTACCCAGGGTTTTATGGCCTACTGGCCAATAGGAGCTGGTGAATTTTAATCTCGCGGCTCTGGTACTTTTTTTAACCTTGCGTAAATGGCATGTAAATACACTATAGCAGACGTTCTCAAAGTAAGTTTTGTTTCGTTTCCTTTGCTCTAAACCAATAAGGACACGTCCCCGTTGGCTTAAGGAGGAGGTAGTAAGCATGTAGAATAAGAACAACAAAAAACAAAATCAATATTTAATTAAAGGCTTCATAATAAAAAATGATTTTACCTAAGTAGGTAATATGATGAAAAAAGGTACGCAGAATTGTCTTGATATTTTTCACAAGGTTGTCAATCCTGGGCTGACTTGAAGAAAGTGCACCACGTAGATCATTAGCAATACCTTTCACACAAGTGCTTAAAAACGGTAAAAATAGATTTAGGGCCAATTTCACAAGGATTTAAATCTAACGGGGTCTTCGACCAATTAGGGAGCAGCTTATCGATATGCAATTTGACGGAAGCTGTCAAAGCTCTCGTAGTATCGCTAATTTCTATTGAAATATTGAATAAAATCGTGAAAAAGCGGTTGCTTTATATAAAGGGTGCATTATAGATGTAATATTATCTCTTTGAGCTTTAGAATTAAGATAACTTTCATAGAATTTCCAATTTCGCAAAAGAAGGTCTGTTATTTAAATGGACCAATGAAAATATGAGAAATAATAGTTCGATTTTCTAGCTTTATATTTAATAGGATGTTTTCACTGTATTTGACGGCGTTCATGCATGGCAATCTAGTTTTGTCTCTATATCACGAACAGGGTGTTGTACATAATACGTACCTGTAGAAATTTACCGATTTTTGTTATTGTGCAAAAAAAGGATATAAAACGTATTCCAACTGGTTCATCATCTTTTGTTACATCAAAAACAAGTTAATTTCCAATAGATGATCTAGAAATCCACACCAAATGTAAACATACAGCACATTCTGCATTTCTGGGTCCTAAAACATCGATATGTGTAAATGTATTCGCATCCACCTATTATTCGTCGTCTAGATATTATGTCAGAATCAAAAATACCTATTTAGGAAAATATACAGTAATGGACAAAAGTATATAGACAAATATGAATATTTACCTAAATACCTTTAGAAAACGAATTCATACTTCATTGCTCCATAAACAAATGCGTTATTAGTAGAAAGATTAAATTCCTTGTTTTTACATTATCTGCAATGAACACAATACAAGTGTGAATATAAGCACTTTTTTATGAGGTACAAAAATATGTAGACAAATTCTTTTCAACATTAGTTTAGTACAGATTCGTGTCAGAAGAGGATTAGTTTATGTTCATCAAGTATTGTGGAGTAAGTTTAGTGATTTTAAGACCATGCCGCGTGGTCCAGAAATTTATTTCGATGTGAACTAAGATCATTGAGTTATACAAAGATGGTCAACGTCAAGTCAACATTGCCAGAAAGTTGAAGCTAAAGCGTAAAGCAGTTTGGGCAATATTGAACCAATATATACAAAAAGGTATCTTGGAAGCCTCTAAGAGAAGTGGTCGGCCTAGAAAACTAAATGCTAGATCAGTTAGATTAATCAAAGTAATTTCGCCCAAAGATCCGTTTACAACCCCAAGACAAATAAAAGCCGAAATCGTGAAAAAAGGAATTGTCAGTGTTTCTACGAAAATTATAAGTAGAAGATTAAATGATTTGAAATTATTTGCACGTCGCCCGAGTAAAAAGCCGCTAATCTCTAGGAAAAACCGTAAGGATCGATTACAATTTGCACGGTTGCATCTTGATTGGAGCATCTGTGACTGGAAGAGGGTATGTTTCAGTGACGAATCCAAGTTCAATATGTTTGGATCAGATGGTGTTCATTAAGTTAGGCGTCCTAGTGGACAAAGATTGAACCCCAAGTACACTTTGCCCACTGTCAAACATGGAGGCGGGTCTGTTCTGGTTTGGGGTGCTTTTCGGGGTCTGGGTTGGAACCTTTACATAGAATAGATGGCATTATGGATAAGTTTGTATACACAGACATAATAAAGCACGTCATGTTACCCTATATGGAAGACAATATGCCCTTAAAATCGATCTTCCAGCAAGATAATGACCCGAAGCCGAAGCCCACTTCAAATCTCGCAAAAAAATTTTTTCTGGATGAAAAAAAACCAGGTCTCAAATGGCCTTCACAGTCTCCAGATATAAACCCCATTGAAAATCTATGGGAATACTTAGATAAGCAAATACGAGATAAAAATTATTCAAACATGATGAACTTTTTGCCGCTTTAGAGCAAAAGTGGAGACAGATTGATGAAACTTATATCAAGAAACTTCTACAATCTATGCCGAGACGATGCCAGGCGGTGATTGATAATAATGGTTATGCTACAAAATATTAACACAAACATGGTTGGTTTTCTATAATTCAATGAACTTTGCTTCTTTTTTCTATAATTGTTTTGATTTGCCTATATATTTTTGTCCTTCATAATTCCAGTTTTTTTCAATCAATTTGTTATTGAAGGGAGTCTAATAATTTATGTATATATACATAAGTGAGTATTATGCTATAACGAATTATGTATACAGGTTGGTGTATTAATAAAACAAGTTAAAAAAGAAATTCAGCACAATATTAATTTGTCGATACACTTTTGCCCATTACTGTATCTCCAAACATTTTATATTTTCTTGTTATTTCTATTATTATAATACGTCTGGGATATCAATTGCTTTTGAAGTGATCTGCAGTGTTGCCGAACCGGCAAAAAAAAAACGGAATCGGTAAATAGTGTCGTTGAATTCGGTATAAAGAAAATGCCGTCCCAAGATCAGTGGTGGATCAAGGACCTTTGAGTCATCCAGCGCCGTCTATGAAAAACGTTAATTTGTATTGAGCGCGCACACAATATGTTTTTTGGGGGCATAGTTCTATATTTCAACTTGTACAGGGTGCATACTGGTCGCTCTTTCAAAGTACTTTGCAACCATTCTGGAAACTCCTCTTTCGATTCTTGCTTATAGGATTGTGAATATTTTTCTGTTTTACTCCTGAAGTCATGAACTCACCTCACATTTTAATTAAATATTTATTTTGAAAACAGAGAGGTTTCTGTTTCTTTATTGCTTGTCCGGTGATGATGTAATGACGGTAATCTACCAGTCTGTACCTTTTGTACGCATAAAAATCAATTCAGGGCAAGCGGAGTACGGGATGAGGATGTGCGTTTGCAATCATAGGCAACCCAAATGTACGCCTCCCTTGTGCCCGACTGCCTGAGTATGTGTGATTGATATGGGGCATAAAACTACGAATACTACATAAAATTAACTTTTAGCTTTATTTTTTGTTGCAGCTTTCGGCAAGTATGGAAATATTTAAATTATTTTGAAAAATCGTGGAAGATTACGTTTTCGGTAAATATCCTCATTTCGGTAAAAATACCGAAAAATCCGGTTCAAGTCCATGCATAGACAATCTGAAACCTGCAATATGAATTTATATTCTAGATTCTATGCATATCCATTCATATTCGTCCATATTTCATTTGAAGCTTTTCTTTTCCATAAGATTTTAGCAAAATATAAAATAGTAAAAGGCAACACCGCACCCAGCAGCCCAGTTGACAAGCTGTCAAGATTGGGGATGTTTCGATTCACGAAAAGTATCGATACTCTAAAATATGGGAATAAAATTATCGATATCCAGCAGAAGGACACAAAGAAGAAAAGTAATCTGAAGTTAGTCACTCTTTCTGACACAGTCCGGATCGAAAGATGACGATACTCGTGAAATGTTTCGATACACCCAAGTCTCGTATATAAAAATATCGATCCAAAATATCGGGTGAGTGAAGTAAATGTAGGATCGTATCGAACATCCCTACACTCAAGATGTATAACCCGAGGTACCGAGGGAGCTAGTTGGGGCGTCATGGAAATAATTTTAAATTTTCATTTGCATTTTTTCAAGTGTTGTGCAACGATTTTGGGAAAAATTCCACGTATAGTCTTATAAAGCATAGTAGAGTATATTTCAACATTTGGCGGAGCTTACTCCACTGGGACCAAGCGTTGACGGATCCCACACATGTGTCACTTGTAGAAAGTTATTTCAAATTCTAGTTTTTTGCAGGTTTTAGGTTTGCCGGTAGCTTTACGACATATATTTGGGTATTTCTTAATCGCTGTAAATGTAGTGTGGATGTTTGCTCAGTTCCTAAACAACGAAAAATATTCGACTTGAAGGATGTATGGCTATCAAAAATTCTAAATGGTTTTGTGGGAATATCAATCTAACGTGCTATAATGGTACTGTTGAACGGCAAGTAAATGAATGAATGTTTGGAAACGAGCAATATCGATGAAATTTTTGGTAGAGCCTGACATCAAGTAGGTGCTTAATGGCTATCTGCAAGAGGTTTATAGGAAAAAACACACGGTAGGTGATGTTAAATCAGTAAAATCGCATATCAATTGAAGAAAATAATTTAATCACGAATAAACAATCGACAATATTAAAAAAAACATGAATTGAATTCAAAAATCAAACACTTTATTAAAATTTTGACTGAGTTTGTAATTTCTTAATATTCAATAAGCTGGTGATGTTTCAATGACAAGCTGCCATCTCATACTTTGACAATATTTTGTTTTCAACATTTCATAGTTATTGGTTGCTAAAATTTGTTGATTGGAACTTGAAGCTCATTCTTTGTATTTGACGGACTGATTAGACAATCCTGGTAAAATACAACCTTAGTGCTTTATCTACTATCTATTTCACTGTGAGGGGTAAAAAATACAAAACCATCTTGAAACGTTCTTCTGTTATTGATGATACTACAGGAAAGCAAGAATAATCGCATGTTAAAATCTTGCGATTCCGGACCTGCGACTTATAATTGCTTGGGGTGATAGTATGCTAATATAATCGAATACGAGTAAGGCTTTTGAATTCCACAGAAACTTCACTTTCTTTTAAATATCCAAAAACTGAATTACTTTATCTCAAAGATCAAATAATCTTGTTAACATATTTCCTTTAGAAAACCAGCCCGGGATTGACGACCTTGTAAGACATATGCAAGATCATCCGTCGCACTGACTAGTTATGCCTATCTTTTTTTACTTGACTTGATTAGATTTTTCCTAAAATTGATTTTGCTTCACACGCCTGCGCCTCCCTCCTTAAAGGGGGCGTAACGACATGTAAAGAGCTTTGAAAATCAATGCACTAAAGGTAAAAGCGACTTGTCTGCGTTGATTTCTAAAGTGTCAAATTACGACCACCGAGCTGGTATACCAAGAGAGAACACTTCGCCGAACGTCTTTGAACTTTGCTGTTGACCTTATCCCTTGAATTGGCTTGGCACTGCATTACTACACATTTCACGCAGCCCTTATTTTTCCGATATCATTTGCTAAAATATGAGTATTCGATCTAATACATAATGAGGCTTCTAACCAAGGGTGGAAGAAAATGGTATACATTGCTGTAGCTTAGTGTAGAATAACCTTGCTAGACCTGAATCTTGAGACGTCATTTTGTCCTTTAAATTGGATTGGTCAGCCTGCCTATCTCTGATTTTATGCGCCTTGTCTGTCTTGGTATATCTTCTCTTTGTCAGGATACCGCATTCTCGACTCGATTATGATTTCGATGGAATGAGTTTTTTGAGATAACTGTGGCATCTAAACCTTATCCAAAACCAAGATTAGGTGGATGTAAACACAGTCATGCACTGAGCGCATGATGCTTGGGAGCCTAAGAATTGGACATTGTCGTATTTAGAACCGCCTTGCGAATCTTATCAACATATGGAGGTTAATTTTTGAAATGAGGGAGTAAAATAATAGAGAACGTGGACGTGGTTCTCTTACCTTTCGCGAAACTGTATTCCCGCACGGTGATATAAGTCGCCCCCTAGTCATTCTCAGGAGAAAAGTGCGGATATCTCGCATATCTAAAGATGAACTTGGTGGTGGAACGTTTGATTATATGAAGAACCCAGGGACATATAATTTTGCAGAAATGTATGTATTCACCAACTTGATTGACAAATGTCAACAGGTTTACAGGGAAGAAAACCGCGCCCACTTTCTGTGATTGTACTCCTTCGTCTTCAAGAATAGGGGTCCTAGTCGACTGCAGATGCTATTTTTTAGTAAAAATTATTAATTACTATGATTGAGGTGCGTTAGTTTGTCAGTTTTTCCTTCGATTTCGCGGCGGACCAAGCGATCAATATTGATTTCACCGAATGAATTCTGCCCAGTCCACCTGTTACTAAGAGATTAAGGCCCGTATCGTCAGTCGTCCCTACAATTGTAGGGCGCCTTTATGGCCTCCTTGATTGTCATAGTTTTCTACTTCTCCGTGTCAGAACTCTATTTTGAGGTTATGTCACAAACATCTATTTGCACCAAATTGTGCTTGCTTTTGAGTTATATCATGTTTTATCAGCCTGAAATTTCCTACAATTTAAAAAGAAAACATATCTTCACAATAGGAGAGCGCTGACGCTGACACGGGACAAGTGTAATCTAGAAATTTTTGAAGGAGAAAGGAGTATGACAATCAAGGAGGCCATAAACGCGCCCTACAATTGTAGGGACGACTGACGATACGGGCCTTAGTGAATGTGTTTGCTATGTTCTACTCATGCTTTACTTTATCTTGGATTTAGTTATGGATTATATTCACACAATTTGGAATTTGTTCATGCTCACCTGAAAAGGTATAGCTTTCATATGATTATGAGCTAGACATAGGACTTCAAGGTATTCGTGCATGTTCTTGAATGCGTCCCTAGGGATATCGTTGATTTGATTGTTGGATATATTCAGTCGGAGCAGTTGCGTATAATTTTCGAACTGGTAGTCCTTAAGTTTGGTCAGGTTGTTGAACGAGATGTCAAGGTCAAGAAGGTTGATGGGACTGGTCAAGGATCCAGAAAGGTTACTGATATTACTGTAGATCCATCGTAGACGGTTGACAGATAGGGCGTCCAAAGGTGCAGTAGTGTCTAGAACAAAGAAAGGGATTGTTATTGGTATTTTTATTATTAGGCATCTATTGAAATAAGAAAACCGTCATTAGCTTATCTTCGGAATCTCGTAAAATTTTTAAAAGCAATATTTTCTATATATTTGTTTTTTTTTAATGCAGATGACAATTCACAGTCAGGTACATGGCTCTGCAAATGCCCCGTTATATTAACATGCAAAAAATTGTTTTCTAAAGCACCTACATCAGTGACTTTCGTGCCGGCAGATATCTATGTCTAGCGAAAGCATCGTATGGTCTTATAAAAAATACATTAATATCTTAAAACCAAATTGATTCGACTTCAAAAATTGCCTCTCAAAATTTTGCCTTTACTCAATTTAGACATAAATAACGTTTTAGTCCTCAGTGTATGCCATTATTGCTCGAGTACTTTTATATGAAGGCTTTTAATTTAATATCAGTGTTCAACATGCTAAATAATCTCTGCATCAATGCATACATTTTATTTATCTAAGGTTTTTTTCACTGACATTCTATTTACACAGGAGACATGTAACTTCTCCTTATAGGAATACAATAAATAATGGCAACTTCTCAGGTTAGCAGTTAAAATAATAATCAGACCATCTGTTTATTGGTATTGAATACTAGTAATAGAGTCATCATTTTTTAACAAACGGAACGAAAAACTTCAAGAAATATTTTATTTTACGCACATTACAATATTGAGTTTTAGACCCGTATTCTCTTGTTTGCTTTCCGTCATCAATCTCCAAATGGATAGAGCTGTACCGTACTAATGATTGCTGAAGCATGAAACAACGTTGTGTCTAGTTTTTTATGGTTTCAGAAGGCGGATAGCAAACATCCTGTTCTGTTATTTTTACGTTTCAAATCTACCTTTAAATTTTGCTGATAGCATTCTGTTTTCTTCTTGCCGAGACCTCAAGAGCGCAAAACTCAATAAAATGTTTTTCAGTAAATCACTTTTAAATGATATCGAACCCGTTGATTGCAATGTCAGTCAGTTAACAACACAGCTCGTCACTGTTCCGTTATTATCAATGTCTTTTGGATTTCGCTTCTAAAGATCATAAATTGAATATGGCATACCAACCTGCCGTCACTCTGATTAATTCTATCCTACTGACACTCGGCGGTAACACCAGTCTCGCAGTAGTTCGGTTCTGACACGCTAGATGACTTGCAGTCTTGTTGACAAACCAACACCCTCTGGGAGCGGCCCCTCCCAGCTCGTGTCTTATGTGGGCGGATGTAGGAATCAAGAGGACCAATAGGAGCATTAACAAGATTTGGACACGTGAAACGGACTTGCTTGTATAAGTTTGTGACAAATTTAAATAGATATTTTGATATGATGATTTGTGAGAGCAGGATGCAGTTTTGAATTGATTGAATATATTTGTGAAATAGAAGATCAAAGATAATATAAATCTAATCGAACTTCTCCAAGAATAGGATATATCTTTATTATAAATATTTACCAATACCAGTTGTTTGTCTATACTATTTGGGGATTGAAGGGTTTTAGTATGGAAGCCATCCTTATTTTGATGTTTGAAGTAGCAATAATCAGAATTCATAGGCTTTCGTTGGATTTGAGAAACTTTGTATTCATTTAATTTGTACCAAGCTCTAATACTGCGCAAGGTTATATAACATTTGTCCAGGCCTTCTGAAAAATGGAAGTCCTTATCATCTTCTTGGAAGTGGCGAGTACATATATTTCTATCAAACCTATGTTTGGCTAATGTGGTTTCTGGATATGCTATGGAGATCAATTGACTACAGTTTGACAGATCGTTAGATAGAGAAGCGTTTAGTTTTTGCAAATTACCGGAAGACCGTGTGTGATGCCCGTTTGGCGCGTGCAGATATAGTATGTGATCATCTAAACAATTTTGACATTGTATTTCAAGGTTTTTACTACTTAGAAATGACGTGCATGATTGGAGAGACAGATCTAGAATTGTAATATCACTTTCTAAATCTTGGAAACGGAAGGAAGGCAATTCATGGTTTAAGATGTCATCCTCTGCAATAGGTGCATTTTTGGCATAAAAGCGTAGCAAACTTTGGTGACAGTAATTTATGGTGTTCGAGGAGATGCAGTCACTTTCCAACAAAGGCGTGCTGGCAGATGTCAGCAACTTCGAATATCGTGGAGCCTCGCTAGGAATTGATTGCTTGAATTGGTAAAAGGGGCAACTTCTTTCAGAGAACCATTGTAAATTTAAGGTTTCACCAGCATTAGACGGTGGACGTGGCAAGTTATACTTCTGTGGATCGTGACAGGTGTTACTACCTATGTGACAGTGGCGAGTGTACTTCGACGCTGGTACTGCTACGGTTACCATGGTGCCGGGTAAACATGGTAACAGTACGATAGATTGAAGGAAAACTCTGATGGATGGGAAGGTGGGATGCTAACGGATGTACATCTTGGAACCACCTGCAAACAAAAAAAAGACCAAAATTACGTTGACTCTGCACTTCCTAGGCAATGCCTACAGTTCATAAATTATTAAGTTCAGCGCAATTTAAATCCTCTGAGAGAAAAGTTGGTTTATAACACAGAAATTAAACGGATTAAGTCAGTCAGTCCATATACATTATTTCTTTGCCTTTCCGGTAGTTACTGTCCATCTGGCAGCGTCGTCCCTTTCCACATCTGCCCCGTATCGCTGCAGCGAGTTATCCCGTGTGTTTTTTTGCGGTGCGGCACGGTTAAATTAGTCAGCCGGACCGGTTCGCCGGGCGGTGTTTTAAATCTCTCAAGAAAGACAACTTATTTAAATATTGTGCATCCGACTTCCATTATCTATAACGTATTCCAGTGTCTTCAAATTTCAAACAACAAGGCAATTCATGTAAAAACAAGTTCCTTATTCATAAATAATAATACTTTATAACAGGTATTCCAGAAGAGTCAGTGATGTAGAAAAATGTTTCTATTTTCTTCTGTAGGGTTCAAAGTATCCTAAATTTAGTTACACAGTTTTTATTTACGGAGTAGGTATTATACGAGGTGTGCAAATTAAGTGAAGAGCTTTTTTTTATTTTTTCTTCATTCAAATATAAATACAATTTTATATTGCCACTCTCGAAATAACTTCCTTCTGAAGCCACACAGTACTGGAGATGGTTCTTCCACTCCTCATCGCAGTACTGGAACTCCGATACTGGAATAGCCTTAAACTGGTCGGTTACGGCGGTTTGAATGTTCGGCTGTCACAGGATGAGTTGCCTTCATCTGGTTTGGTGGCCTTGCATTGGAACCGAGACAACTAAAGCGCAACTCAATAAAATTCGGCGTCGGTGTCCTGTATTAGTATTACAAGTGCAGTACGGACACACACATACACACAGTGCAATGGACACTGTGCTGGATCTCCCACAGTTGGATATAGCGATCCGCGGAGAAGCGAGAGTAGTTGCTCATTGACTGTGGAGTCAGGGCAGCTAGGCCTTCTTGAATCCTGTCAAGGGTCACACTGCCATTGTAGTCGAACTGCAAAGGGAGGATCCTGTCCTTCTGAACAAGGGTGATATGCTCACCAGGGGCGTAGCGTGCATGGATGCGAGTGATGCGTCGCATCCCTTAACAAAACTCTACATTTCATAATACGTAATTTTAATACATTCATCATTTTAATAAGTTCTCTATATAATTATTCTAACCTACATTCAGTACATTCTCATTACATATTCAATAATTCCGAAGGACCGCGCTCGTTTCACTAAAACCACAGCGAAATCCGGCGGTGATGCGACTCACTCAACACATCTCATCGAATACAAAAACATCGGGATAAATCGGGTAATTGCAAGTGGTGATGCCGGTGGGGTTAATAACCTCCCACCTTTATGTAGCGGGCGTTTAGTACTCGGTGATGTGATTTGGTTATCGCATCCTTTTGTTGTTTTTTGCGCCGTAGGCTTAATTTAATAGGATTTTCATTAGTCTACTATGACGACGGCAGCGCGATTTCTAGTAACGTATGTGACTGTGGATTAGAAAAAGTATTTCGTACAGGTTTTAGTAGTTTATCTTACACAGATAAATTAAAAATTATTGAAGATGGACCACCGCGTCATAAATTAAACATAACCACAAAATTAAAATCGTGTGTTAGACATTTTAGTGACAATATATATGAAAGTGAACATTGGCTTTGTGGGTGCAAAGTTTTGAACAAACTGTTTTGCTGGCTATGTGTATTGTTCTCCACCGAGAAAAGTGTATGGAACAGCACGGGATACGACGACTTAAATAGTATATATAGGTCTCAAAAAAGACATAAAAACTCTACCAATCATATTCATTGTGAGAAAGCTTTGATTCTATTTGGAAAAAATCAAAGAATTGAATTCGCTCTGAGTACCCAATATAAACTTAGCGTTGAAAAACACAATGAGTTAGTGAGGCAAAACAGGCAAATTTTGGGACAGCTTATACGCGTGACTTGCCTACTCGGGAAACAGGGCCTTTCTTTTAGAGGTCATTATGAGAGCGACCAATCAAAAAATAGGGGCAATTTTGTCGAGTTTGAACATAATGGTCTGCAGGCGAAACTTCGTGAACATTGTTAAACAGCTACATTTATTCATTGTTACGCCCACAAACTAAACCTAGTTTTAAGTCAGTAAGCTAGTTTTGTTAAAGAAGTTAAGGTGTTCTTTACCAACCTCTCAAGTTTTTATGTGTTTTTATATTATCAAATTTGCACAAAAAAGAGCGTGGCCCTAAACAAATTTATTCCTGCGGCGCTATGCCTGCCGCGCAATACAGTATTCTCCCTAATCACATCCCTTACTTATTGAACCACGCTACGCCACTGATGATCACCTCTAAATATGGCTTCAAATGCGAGTTTAATGTGGAGTATCCAACGAGGGCGGAGTGGGACTCTGGTAGCCCGAAGATCTCCGGTGTGAGTGGGCTGGTCTTGTACATGAACGGCTCGGTTACTGAAGAGGGGGGGGGATTTTTCAGCTTCGGGAAGAGAAAAAAGTCACCAGAACTCAAGTCAGGCGAATAAAGAGGTTGAGGAGCCGCAGGAATGTTTCTACTGGCCAAAAAACTCGTTTATTGACATTGCTGAGTGGCAAGGAACGAGTTCAAACTTGCACTGAAAGCGGATCACATGTTCCCCCAGCTCCTCTCCAAGGTGCCTCTAGTGTTGCCAGATCGAACGCTACCTTGCCAGTATCATCACTTAATTCAGACCTCGTATTTGGGCTTGGTTTGATAACGAAAGTTAGGACAAATAATTGTCGCTTCAAATCTCTGTAGATTGCGATATCTTTAGTCATATGGCCGTTGAAAATTCGTAAAGCCGTATCTCGAAATTCGGGGAAAATTGGATCGATACGTCAATGCACATATTTGAACGTGTTTCAAGCCTTGACGTGAAGGCGAATCTCAAAAACGCACGGTTCGCTTGATGTGAAATAAGAGATAAAGGGCGTTTCTCGAAGTTGAAAAATATAAACTGGGACGTACAGGTGCTTCTCAAGATAAGCCTTTAATACAAATCTTTGAAAGGCGGATCTCCGAGAAACTTCGACGTACTGCTAAAGAATACCTTACTGTTAATACCAAGAAAACTGTCAAAGCGAGAAAATGGGGTTCAGTATGCAACATGCTTACGGAGGATCAACGACAAAAGATTTTTACTGACTTTTATGAATTTGTTAGACAAACACTCAAAAAAGCAAATACTACTGTCAAGGTAAAATCCAGAAGACAGTGCACCAACATATAACTTCCCAGCTTGCGCGACGATCAAAACCCTATGAATTTTTTTCGTAGAAATTCATATATTTCCTAGATTTCAAAATTTTTTGCGAGAACCTTAGATTGCGTTCATTTCAGGTTGACGAGCAGGGCAATCAGCTTAAGTGGAACGATATTTTTGAATTTATGATAACCAAAAAGAATCCCTTCAAACTGTTTTTTATTACGATCATACAGATAAAAATTATAGGGCAATGTCATTAAAACGGCAACTTGCACATTTCCAAAACATAACAATTAATCAGTTGAATAAGGAACTTTATCCAATATGTTTAGAAAAATACGAGGGATGTTTTTAAGTTTTGCATATAGAAACATAGTAGGCCGCGCGGATCGAACATCAGTACTTAATCTTAACCTCACTCTTTAGTAAACTTAAATTCAAAGTTTCACAACAATACGTGCAGTGTTCTCACTACAGTGAATTTTTAAGTGCCACAAAGTCATTAGAAAAATGAAACTCAACCGAGAACATTTTCGCGCCATAATTTATTACAACTTTCAGAGACAATTATCATAACAAGAATGCCTTGATGAGTTACTGTTTTCGGCAACGAAGCGCCACATCAGTCGACAATTTCCCGTTGGTATGGAGAATTCAAACGTGGACGGGTGAGTCTTAGCGACGATCCCAGGGTGGTTGCACCAAAAACGGCAGTCACCCAGGAAAACGTCGATGCTGTGCGCAAACTCATCATTGAAGATAGACATGTGTCATATCGCGAGATGAAGGCGTCCTTGAAGATCTGAAAGACCTCAATTCAAAAAATTTTACATGAAGAATTAGGAGTAAGAAAATTAGTTTCTCGTTGGATACCCCACCTGTTGACTGAAGAGCAGAAAGCAGCCAGGGTTAATTGGTGTCAAAAACGCTTGACGCAATTCCGGAAACTCAAAAAATGTGTACAGCATTGTTAGTGATGATGAATCGTGGATTTACTGTTATGAACCAGAAAATAAACGACAGTCGGCTGTTTGGGTGTTCTAAGGTGAAGAAAAACCAACAAAAGTCATCCGTTCTCGAAGTGTTTCGAAAAAGATGGTCGCGACATTTGTGTCAAAAGCGGGTCATATAACAGTTCCTCTTAATGAGCAAAGAACTGTTACTGCGGATTGGTATACCACTATTTGTTTGCCAAAAGTCATCACCGAGCTTCGAAAAGTCAACCCCGAAAGAAGAATCATCCTTCACCAAGACAATGCAAGCTCGTACACAGCTCAAAAAACAAGGCAGTATTTAACGGAAGGAAACGTGGAATTATTGGACCATCCTCCACATAGTCCCGATCTAAGTCCTAACGATTTCTTAACTTTCCCGAAAATTAAAAACAGACTGCGTGGTCGTAGGTTCCAGTCACCAGAAGAAGCAGTTGACGCATTCAAAAATGCCGTTTTGGATCTGCCAGCAAACGAGTGGAATGAGTGCTTCGAAAATTGGTTCGAGCGCATGCAGATGGGTATTAATCTTCGTGAAGAATACTCGTACTTCAAAAAACAATAAAGTCATTTAAAACTACCTACCGTGTTGTTTTATTTTGCATATGCAAAACTTAAAAGACATCCCTCGTAGTAAAAGTAATAAATAGTAATACTAATAGTAATAGTAATTTACTATTTAGTAATGATTTGTAGTATGCGGATATCTTACTATT